CATATTACTTTAAAACAGGTATAAGTCTGAAGCAGCTACAGCTGATGTGATAAGGTGGCTGCATTTATCTAGCACATTTATTAAATCTATTGCAAGGCTCAATTCTGCTTGAAAACTAACTGTAAGTTTGAGCCCCTTTAGAAGAGTGGATCAAAGGCGGCCAGTCAAGCTCCCATGCTAAAACAAGCGCTTAATAACACATCAGCTTCTGTGTTTGCTCTCTGACTAAAGAAAAAGGACTGCGAATGTGTGATTAAGGGCAGAATTTGGCTCATTTACAATTCCTGAAAGGGTTGCTGCTCAGACCATAATCATATTTTTGGAACAGAACACGCCTATTACATCTTGTTGTTAATAATTTACTCCCTGGGTAGTGCTTATTACAACAGCATCGTCTTAGTCGTGTTATGTTCATAGCTGCCTCACCTACTGCGGTTATGAGAAAAAGCAAACACACACATGCGTACATATATACACATGCATATACATACATAGAAGTGTCAATGTTCAAACACTCAAAGTCTATTAACTTAGTTATCTGACAAGTTCATGGACCAGTGATGAGTGACCAAGAAGCGACACGTTTTGAGAAATGCTCTTTGCAAGGAAACTCCGATTTCCTATCCAAGACTGTGAAGAAATGGCTCTGGAGAGATTGTTTCAGGTAAATCACTTGCTCTGCTCACTTGAGCATCCCCACGGTCACTGACCACTGAGAAAGCCTCAATGAGATTTTGCAGAATGGGAGGAACGCCCTTTATACACACACTCCCACATTTTTATAATGAATGCAAACATAACTGGAAGACTGATCAGACCAGGCTGCTATGGAGAACCTGATTCCTTGGTGTCAACAGATGTGAGGTCCAGCTGTGCGCGTGGAGCTAACTCCAGTTGAGCGGAGCCGAGACCCCAGTAGGTAATGAGCTATACCACCAGCTGTAATGGTTTCTCTTCGTTGACATGAAGCGTGGGCAGAGAGCACATCATTCTGTTTGATCTACTAATCAGCGCTGATTCATGTTTACACTGCAGATAACATTTCATCTGCTTTTAGAAGGTCATTTTCAAGTGATGCTGTATGGTTTCAGCATTGCCTGATGCCTGCAATTTGAATATCCCTTGAAGGAAGCCAGACCTTAATTTTCCTTGTGGGCTAGAATTCATTCAGCTGTTAGCATCAACACAATTTCTCAAGCTGCAATATCAGATACTATACATTATAAATTATCTGTCACCCATAAAGCTATAATACAAAAGGCAAAAAGACCTTGTGAGCTTCATTTTTAGATAAAGAAACTAAGGCAATGAATAATTATTTTTGTAGAGCCCAACGTGTTTAACTCTGAATGCCTCAGATTCTGGTACCAAAACTTTAGTTCCCACTGACCTTAGTAGGCACTTACTATTTCAGAGAAGCCCATGCTTAGCGACGCCTACAGAAAATACTGGAAATGTACAAAATGCTAAATTTCAAAACAGAATTGTAGGGTGAGTTTCCTGTCTATGTTGAAAGAATGGTTTGGTTTGGCCAACGCTATTAAACATGCGCGTCGTCAGTGAGAAGGGAGAAAATACACAATGACTGCCGCTTAAGGCTTGAGATGACACAAAGTCCGGGACAGTGGTAAATAATTAAGAGGCCTCTAGATATGTGGAAAAGAAGTCAATGTGCAACGTACTATGGTCAAACATAAAATTGCCTCTGGACGCAAACAGTGTACCTATGGCATGGGGCACCATTTTGGGAGAACGGTGGCAATGTCACCTTTGGGGTAAATGAGGTCGGTGGTACCTCCTGTGGTCTTGCTTCTCTTATTATCTTGAAAGGAGACCTCCCAGGAAAGGCCATGGCTACCTTCTGGTGGGTGAAGCTCCTTTTCCTGGAAATAGGAGCATAAGGGATGCTCTACGTCCAAGTCTCCTTCCAACAGGAACTTTGGACATACTCTGGGCATGTAGCTTGAACGGGTGCGAGACCTGGAAATACTCCTCAGTCTTTCATAACCAAAGCCTCTGAGCAGAACTTCGGATCACAGCAAAAAACTGATGGACAAGGAGCTAAGGTTGAGCTCATGCCAAAATGACTAACATGCTCTGTGGATGTATGAATTCAAGTAGACGTAGGCAAATCACATTGCTCCTGCAACTGGTACTTGTACAACTTCTTACTGGAATAGCGTGTCTGGTTCTTATGGAATTGCTCCAAAAAGGATGTTGACTAATTAGAAAAAGTTTAAGGAAGAGTCATATGAATCATTAAAGCTTCAGAAAACACGTCTTTTAGCAAGAGACTCCAAGATTGAGATAATCTTCTCTTTAAGAAACTGAATATAAGGGACAGTTTTATCTCAGCCTGTAAACAGCTAGAAGAATAACAAAAAATTTGTAACATGTTTTTCAGTCTAGCAGACAAGTGTACAACAAGACTCCCTGGCTAGAAGTCATGGATAAACCCATCCAAGACCTAAAAAAACAGAATTAACCAGTAGAGACTGTGATACCAATTTCTGATCAACTGTTCTAGTTGACACAAAAAGAACTTCAGCAAAGTCCTTTGCTCTGTTTGATAGAGGTTTTACCACTTTATAATAGTGACCCTCCCTGTAAACGTACAAATTGACAATCTGCAAATCTGTAAGCTCCAAACACTGAATGGTCAAAATTAACGACTTACCAAAAAATACACTTTAGCAATTTGTTCAACTAACTTAGGTATGAGTGATTTCATTAGTCATTCTGCCTATTTCCTTGGCTAGTTTTCCTCTGTTCACCCCCAGGCTGTGTCCTCCCGGAGCCAGGCTAGATGATGAAAAGGCAGAAACTCTCAAAGAAGTTCTGGGAAAGTACATCCACATCAAACATGTATCCCAGGCTCTTTGCTTAATGGACAAAGACTTGTTTTCACTGTGCTAACACCAAGGAAACACCACTGTCATGGGAGAGGGTGAGCTGAACCGTGTTCTCCCTGGTGCAGCTCAGCTCTGACTAAGCTCATGTCCCCAGACAAGACAGGACGAACCCAGCTGGAGTCTCAGAGCAGAATTCATCAGTCAGAAACACCAATGTCCCTTGACTTGTGATCTGACCAGACCTGACCAGGATATCACTAAAGAGGGACCAGACATCCTCCGTGCTAGCTGAGACACTCCTCTGACTGGCAAGCAGGCAGGCAGAACATTATCGTCATACGTTTAAAAAACCACCTTATTCCAACCTGGTTGTCCCCCTGATCCCTGGTGTTTTGATTACTATACAGTCTAAATGTCTCCACATGGGAGAGGCCTGGAGCAGACCACCCCATGAGAGAACAACAGATGCGATGGAAGGGAGGAGGATCACACATGACCATCCCTTGCCTGTAAAAGGTGCATTTGCTGGGTAGAGCAAAGGTTCCTCTGTTCAGTTCTTCCTCTGTTCGCTTGACAGGTACATCCCATAGAATCATAGAATCATGGAATAGTTTGGGTTGGAAGGGACCTCTAAAGGCCATCTAGTCCAACCCCCCTGCCGTGGGCAGGGACATCTTCAACTAGATCAGGTCGCTCAGAGCCCCGTCCAACCTGACCTGGAATGTTTCCCGGGATGGGGCATCCACCACCTCTC